TTTCAAGCTAATGTCTTGGTTTTCATTTGAGGTGTTGATACGTAAAAGAAATCATACAAGATCGATGTAGTTATCAAACATTATGTAGTAAGTACATGAGTGAAAATGACATCAACAGGCAGTTCTCCCTTTCTTTTCTTTGACTTCTTTGTATCTAAAAGGCCAGCTTATCAATTAAAAGCATTTGGGAAGACGTTAAAACACAAAATAGTGGTACTCTGAACTTGCTTCAAATCTACCTTTGGAGTTTGGAGGGAAGAAGTGATATATATAGAACATCAAATCTCGAGAGAAATTTGGCTAAAGAGCGTGGGGAAACAAGATAATGGGTACTTTTTGGCACATCATGAGAGGGATTTGGGCAAATAGATTTTGATAATGATCTTTCCTTGTTCACTTTCTTCAACAACCATCTTATCGATTAGCTAAAATGACAATGCGGGTGGCTTTTCCAGCAAACCAGAGCACAGCAATAAATTAAGGTATATATTTTTGAAATTTACAGCAATCGCAAATGTGATTTACTTTTTTTTTTATAATGGTGATGATTAAATTAAATTAAAAGAAAGGAAGGGAACGAAAATAACAGAGTTCGGTACAGGGGAGAAACGGGGAAAGAGATGTTCATGAGGACTGAACAACGCAAAACCCCGAGAAAGAGCAAGCTAATACCGAAAGAAAAAAACAGGCGAAAGGAAAACCTCGTCAAGATGGACCAGACCATCCCCGACGAGAAGAAGATGGACACGGAGAAACGGAATAAAGACTGCAAGTGCCTATGGTGAGTCTGGTTGCGATAGGCGTCTGGAGATCCAGTTGCGGCCTTCATCCCTGCTGATTTTGCCCGAGGCGATTGGCCATTCAATCATTGACTTGACAGCCTTCTGCGCAACCACGGCAGGGGTGAGCCTGAGGTTTTGAAAGATTCTCTTGTTCCTCTCGAGCCAAATCTGCCATAGAGTAGCATGGAGGGCGCAGTATCTAATCCATGAATCAGAATTCGTGGGAGTTTCATGGCACCATCTGCTGATGAGTGAAAACACATCCTCAGAAGTGTTGGGATCGCTTGAGCAGATGGTTTGGATGCATCTCCACACTTCTCTGCTGAAGTCGCATCGAATGAATAGGTGATCAGCTGTTTCTTCATCCCTGCAGCATAGGTCACATCTGTTAGCGAGCTGGAATCCTCTTCTTTTGAGGTTGTCGACAGTGAGGATTCTGTTTAGAGATGTTAGCCAAATGAAGCTGCAGATTTTGGTGGGAATGATCTTCCGCCAAACCGACTCTGCAGGGAAGTCCATGATTCCTGGATATTTATCCTTAGTGATTGCCCTGTACATGGAATGAACCGAGAAGGATTGATCTGCATTAGGGAGCCAAACAGGTCTGCAAGGACCGTTAGTGATTCTGAGGCAAGCATTAGAGGTAAGTAAATTCATCAATGAGATTCGCTCTCTCTCCGCTCCCCCTCTCAACTCAAATTTAAGAGGAATAGACCACCTTACTTGTTCCCCGTGACGACTGCTGTTATCAGATATCCAGGCGGTTGGAGCAGAAGCGGCAGCAGCAACTCGGGGATGGGAATCGGTGAGGATGACTTCCGGGATCCAGTGGTCATGCCAGAAAGAAGTCCAAGCCCCATTACCTGGCTCGATGCAAGCAAATTTCCAGAAGGTATCATGCTCTTTCGTGATGTTTGCCCAAGTTGATCCTGCAAAACCATTGATTTACTTACGAGTAGCTTCACTTTTTGGAAAAGAAAAAACTAGCAATGTTTGAGAAAGCATGAAAACCCAATGATTAAGTGTTCAAAAAGTTCGGCAGCTGTTGTTAGGGTTACCAATTATTCGATTCACACTACCGAACTGATGTGAAGATTTGAGATTATTTGATTTCGAATTTCAAAATGCCATCGCTTTTCATAACTAGTATTGTTCATAAACCAATTAGTCTCATTAATTCAACTTGTTTGAAGTCTACGTACAAATTTTCGGACCGTTTGGATGCGTTATTTTAGTTTTGTGGTATTTCGAATCAAACTTCTGTATTATTTGGCTATGTGACATTTCATTTGATATTTCAGTTTGGAATGTGATAATTTGGTCAATTGTCTTGTTTGGATAACACATTCAAGAATTTTGTTATTTCACCACTTAGAGAAGGGATGGAGTGGAAAAGAGGTTGAGATATGAGTTATTTGAAATAACTAGGGGTGGATAGGTATTTCAAATAACTCACAATGAGTTATTTTAATTGCCTCGTGGACAAAATGCCAAATTCCATTTTATTTTTGTTGAACGAGTTATAAGTCTTTTGGATTGAGTATTTGGAGGGTGTTATTTGGGGTCAAATAACACACTTGAACATGTTTGGTTGACAAAAAATGGGATGTGTCATTTGAATGTGGTGTTTTACCAAATAACATGTTTTAGACCATATAACACAAAAAATGTTTTTTGCCAAATATTCGGGAGGGACGGGTATTTGCCAAATAACAGGTTTGAGACCAAATAACAAATTTTATATTATGTGGCATTTGTGTGGTAATTGACCTCATGTAACAAGTTTACCAAATACTCAATCCAAACGACCCTTTTATCAATTTCCTTAGACGTCCCTCAAAAGTGAGTCATTCATGGGTTTGGAGTGTATACAAATCTATAGTACCATATGCTTTCAAGATACCGGTTAATATTGGGGGTCGTGAGGATTTGAACAAGTGACCTGAAGGACAAACCAACTCCGATATGATATCATAAGCCAATTGGTCCAAATAATTCGAGTTGTTGTGACGAACAAGGGCTTGGTCAAGTGGTAATACCACTAGCCTAGAACCGGGAGGTCCCAGGTTCAAATCCCCTTAAGTAGTACCTTAATTACAAACAAGAAACCTATATCACCCTTATAAAAAAACTACAATATGGAGGAGTGGGTAAAAAAAATATCTACATCTACACTATCATTAACAAAAAAAAAAAAAAATAATACGAGTTGTTGTGAGAGGTCCATGTATGGATCTTATCCACTTCCTTACATGTCATAAACCACATTGTCTCATAACTCGAGTCATTGTGAGAGACTCATATATAGTACTTAACCACTTCCTTACAACCCTAAAAAACCAACTCATGAGCTTGAATTTTACACATGCTCATCATACCATGTGTTTTTTAGGCAACGATTCTGTCGATTCATAATGGGGGTCGTGATGACTTGAACACACAACCTAATGATCAAACCAACTCTGATACCATGTCATAAACCAACTGGTTCCAATAAATCAATTGTTGGGAGAGGTCCATGTATGGATATTATCTACTTCCTTACACCCTCTCAAATGAAAGCCAACTTGTGAGCTTGAAGTTTGCATATGTCTCCCATTACTTTAAGTCAACTATGAATGCTGAGGGTCGTGAGGACTTGAACACATGACATCAAGGACAAACCAACTATGATACCATGTCATAAGCAGTTGGTCACGATAACTCGACTTGTTGAGCGAAGTCAATATATAGATCTTATGCAGTTCCTTATAATATGATTTGATAGGGGTACAACTGGTTTATGTCAGTTTCATAAAATATGTAGAAATGTGAAAAATCATTACTATCAAATAAATTTAAGAATATATAAAAAATATATAAATAAAATATACTTACAATCTACGTTCGTATTTAAATAAAAATACATCATTCTAAACAAAATAACAAATACTCATATTTAAATACAACATTTAACGTCAACACCAAAAAGTTTGTACTTGAATCAAACACATAATATCAACATTTAACTTTGAAAATAAAGCAATAAATCACAAATAAATGTTTTAACTAAATTCAATAAAATAACATCATTTTATTTAGGTTAATACTTTATTTTGGCCTGAATTATACCCAAATAGTCAATTTTGGTAAGTGATTTCATAAATTGCTATCATGACCTCAATTATATACCATATACACTAACTTGACCTGAATCGTGAATTTTCTTCAAATTAGACGGTCAATATTGTTGACCGTTAGTGAATTAGCATGCTTCGTTGATGTTGATGCCATGCAGACATTAAAAATTAATAAAATATCAAATAAAATTAATAAAAATATCAAATATATTAATAAAAATAATTTATCTTATACTTTCAAAATTATTGGAAATGAATAAATTAATTAAAAAACATATGGTCATCCCAACCCACGCAGCTGTCGCAACCATCGTATGCTTTTCCCGCCTCATTCTCCGAGTCCGATTTTGCTACCATCGACGCCTTCCCTTTCTTCTTCTTCTTCTCTTCCTCCTTGCCCTATCGCGCCATATCCATCGGCGAGAGAAGGAAGAGGTTGTAGCTGAACAAGATAACCAATGCAAGAGGGTGTATGGAGTAAAAATTAAAAAAAATTACCATATTTATTATCTTATTACATAAAGAAAATAATTTGAATTTTTTTAATTTTGGTTTGGACATGACAGTGAGCTAGACTGTTTACTGTTAGTCAATAGGGTTGACCGTCTAATTTGATGAAAATTCACGAGTCAGGCCAAGTTAGTTTATATAATATAGTGTCTAGTTGAGGCCAAAATAACGATTTCTGAAATTACTGCCCAAAATTAATTATTTGAGTATAATTCGAGTCAAAATAACTCAATGTTCTTCTTCTTTAATTCTCTCTTAATCCATAAAAAAAATCCGAGACGAATACGATGATATGATTTTATGTTAGGTTTTGACTACTAGTCGGACAGGATTTGGGCCGCTTATTGCAAAAGCCCACTGGATAAAGTGTCAAACAAATGAGACCCAAAAGGCAAAAGGTTTATAAAAATTCCGTTGCCGGGACTTGAACCCGGGTCTTTCGGGTGAGAGCCGAATATCCTAACCAACTAGACTACAACGGATTTATGTTAATTATTAAGTTCGTCAAAATATGAAAATGCACGACTGTTGTGGAACCTATTTCTCCGGCAAAAGTTGCAGGCTTGCAGCGGTATCAACTGACGAAACACTCTGATGAGGGAAGTGCTAGAAACTAAACCCGCTGAAGCAAACGGGAACAGCGGAACTTCTCAGTCCTCCACCCAATGGCGGCTTTCAAGCACATCGCAATTGGCGTCTGCACACCGTCGCCGAGACTCATTACCCCTTCCTCCGTCTCGCCTCCGCCGGTTCGCCCGCCGACGAGAAAGCTCTCCAAGGTATCCACCATCACCTGCTCCTCCAGCAAATGGGCCGAGCGCCTCCTTGGCGACTTCCAGTTCTTCACCCCCTCCGCCGCCGCCGCTGAAGCTTCTTCCGAGCTCCAACGACAACAACTCTCCCTCTCTTCCTCCACCACCACCGCCACTCTCCCTCCTCCACCTGTCCCTCGTCCCCCGCCGCCGCCGCCTCTCGCTCCTCCCGAGCGCTACGTCTCCATTCCTCTCGATTTCTACAAGGTAAAACGAGAAATGCAGTTCCAATTTCCGTTTTTTCAGTAATTGATTTCGCTCTTCTCTTTCGAATATGTTTCTGATTGTCTGGCAATGGAATTGTTCGTTGTTGGCTGCTGAAAAGGTTCTGGGAGCTGAGACGCATTTCCTCGGAGATGGAATCAGGAGAGCGTACGAAGCTAGGGTATCCAAACCGCCTGCCTATGGATTCAGTCAAGAAGCTTTGATCAGCCGTAGACAGATTCTGCAAGCAGCCTGCGAGACTCTTGCCAATTTCAATTCCAGGAGAGAATACAATCACGGCCTCATTGATGACGAGGAGGACACAGTGCTTACTCAGGTCCCTTGGGACAATGTACTTATCTATCTCAACTGCTTCTATATCCTTACTGGTTAATCGTAATTCGGAAGAGAACGGACACAGGTTTGGGCTGAATTTTATTCATTGGTTTGTTTATAGGTTCCTGGAGCTCTCTGTGTGCTGCAAGAAGCAGGGGACACCGAACTGGTTTTGGAAATTGGAGAGACTATGCTTAAGGAAAGATTGGCCAAGCAGTTCAAACAAGATGTGGTGTTGGTAATCGCTCTTGCTTACGTCGATATGTCGAGGAATGCCATGGCGTTCAACCCACCTGACTTCATTAGGGGGTGTGATATGCTAGAAAAGGCCTTGAAGCTCTTGCAGGTACTGCTTATTACCATTTTCTTGTTCTTAATTTAGGAAGATTTTATTTTGGCTCAATTATTTATTACTGTGAAAAAGAGGACAGTCCTGAGTCCGCCATTGATTTCCCCTTGGATTCAGAAGCTCGGCCCCACAAAGCTCTGTAATCTGCAGAGCTCATGACAGAGTGAATGGGGGATAAAAGAACATGAACCTAAAAGGCCAACTTTTTTTATAACCTCCATAAGGAAATTCATTAGCCTGCCCTCAACGTCTATAATTCCTAACTCAAACCTTATCCCAGTTTCACGTTCTTCTTAGTTTAGCCATCAACTAGAGCACTGCAACTGTCAGATCTGCAATTCATTCTCTCCTCACATCCTGCTTGCATCACAAGCAACTGCGACAAATCAAACAATCATGGTACTTACCATACAACGAGATTACGAGATAGCCAAATTCAGAGCGGATTACAACTAGACCGATGGTGACTAACAACAATCAGTGGAACTGAATGAAGCCAATTAGCAAGACGAGTGGTTTGACCATTCAATGCAAGCCTGTAACTACACTTGAAACACCATCCCCTTTCTAAAGTAGAATTGAAGGATTCCTATACAGTACTTAACTGCAGATTGAGGACAGTAAAATTTCGCGGTTGAAACGGAAAGGTGGTGGAATTGAACCACCAGATGGCGAAATAAACCAGCTAGCCATCCCAGAAAAAGCTTACGTTTCTTTCTTTTTGGTGGGCTTGAGCCATTATGATAGCCACTGACTTACCACGGTCCCCGACAGCAACGTTACTAGAGTGGAAAACAAAAAGAAACCCAAAAAAAAAAAAAATTAACTGTAGGATACTGGAGCTCTGGCAACGCCAGGGGAAGTATCACATGCATTTCAGTACTTACACTGACGCAAATCCCAGAAGTTTAAAAAGGCACAGGAGGGTGGATGGATGTTTCTCTTGCATGGTGGCAAATGGGTCGGGTCAAAATACGCTGCGGCTAGATTTTGGTTGATTGATAATGACGATCATTAAAACACAGATTCGATAAAAAAAAAAGTGCAAAACTTAGCAGCAACCCAGGGAGCAGCGTGTAGCTGCTGCCAGCCCAGGTGGCGCATAGTGATTGGGCCCAATTTTTAAAATTTTAATTACTGATTAAAATTAAAAGAAGTCGGAAACGGAACAGAGACGTATCCGTTACTCTCTTTCCCCTATTAAGGAGTCAGATATGGAAAAGATACAATTTGTGATTGCATTAGTTTTCTTTTAATGAAATTTTAGATTTTGGTTTTCAATTTTCACCCGTTGAGTATTTATCTATGTTTCTAGAACCGAACCGGAGGCTGAACCGAAAAAGTTAAAAATAAAGTTATCATTGACCATAAATAATTTAAAATTCATATCATCACCAAAATATCTAATAAATCATTCAAACCATATCACAAAAGAAATTATAATTTTTTAATTAGTTAAAATTATGGTGCCAGTTGGTAGTGGACCACGTAAAACGCCAACAAGGTTGGAAAATGAGAAGAGGAAACATATATAAAATTAATAATAAAGGCTTGATGATCTTTGTTTACGTTAAAGTTTTATTTAAAAAACAATTATGGTTAAAATAGTGAACCAGTAGACCAGTTAAACCGTGATGGTTCATCTGGTTTTATGTTGAACCGTGAAAAATTGTTTGGTCCATTAATAACCGTTCAAGCACTGAACCGGACCGCTATCGTAACTGGTTTGGAGGTTCTACTGGCCCAGCCATTGATCCGGTTTGGTTCTTATAACAATGGTATTTATTCACATCCTATAAACTTTGATTTTGTTGGAGTAAATCAAGGTTGTCGACCTGCCAGTTGACCCACTTTCATCTGGCCCGTGAGAAAAACGTGTTGCACACATCCGCCGGGTCAACCGCTGCAACGTATCGGATTGGAGGTCAAACTTTGTCGTTTTTTTTTTGTTTAGAAAATGCAACTATTTTCTGTTTTCCTTTTCGCCTAACTCACTATTTGAAATGTTAAGTTGAACATTTGAATATTGATGTTATATGAGTATGTGGATTTTCATCAAATGTTTGATCTAAGTACTACATGCTATTTTGATGTAATGTTATATATTATTACTCATAATTTGAAGTGGAAAAAAATAAACCTTACCTACGAATTAAAGTTAATAGCAATTGAAAAACTCCTATCAGAACCAAAAAAAAAAACCCCTAAGAAGTAACGTCTCCGTCCCCTCCTAATCTAATAAGAGTTTTGGTTACCCATTAAGAGAATTAAATACAAAAAATTCGGCCCAATCACTAGGCGCCACCTGGGCTGGCAGCAGCTACACGCTGCTCCCTGGGTTGCTGCTAAGTTTTGCCCAAAAAAAAAAAGCGCAATGTCTATTTTTTACCCAAACCTTTTTCAGATTCTTTTATTTTAACCAAACCTATAGAAATTCTATTTATTATCCAAACGTATTATAATTTATCAAAGTCTGGGCATTCATTCTGTTACCGTTACTTATTTCGTCCACGTGAGGGGTGATGTTTTGTTTTGTTTTTTGATAATCTTTTTATTAAAAATAGTAAATGATGGTATTCTGACCATCACGTAGGAAGTCAACTCATTATGGTCATACTTAGTCAGCATTACTAACAGAAAAGTTAACGTAGAGTTAACGTTTGGATAATTTTTAGGAATTCAATAGGTTTGGTTAAAATAAAAGAATCTGAAAAAGGTTTGGGTAAAAAATAGACATTGCCCAAAAAAAAGTTGAAAACGCAGAAAGTGGAGGGAGAGAGAGACTGGTGGATGGTAGGTGAGAGATTCAGCTGGTTGAATTTTTATTATTAGCCTTCACCTTCCATCCGTCAGTTAAGTGAAGTTATTTGAACAAGACACTTACATGTTCAAAACTTGTGATATTATCACTAAATTAATTTTTTGTGTCGTAAAGGTTGAATTCCGTTGTTGAAACCGAAACCCTAGTCTTAGAAAAAACAAGTGAAGATCAATATTGTAAAATTTTAGTTTTTCACTAAGAGAAAAGTTACAAAATTACTAATAATAACAAATAAATGATTAATATATTGATATATTACAAAAAAAAATGACTAATATTTTACATTTCGAAATATTTGACTTATAATTTATAAAATTTAACTAATAAATTGTATTTACTCAATAATTTAATTAAATAAATAAAATAGATAAAAGAATACGCCGGGCCCTACTCCCAATCCTTCTTCGCAGCATTAACGGCTACTTTTTGGATAGCCTCACTGGCCCCCACGTGCCCCTTTTCATTGGCTTTTTTTTCTCTAGCTTCTTTTGGCGGGAGTTTTGGACTTCTTGCTGTGGGCCCCGTTCCATACATTACCTTCCTTCCACGGCCATCTGTTTATTTATAAATACCAATTAATTTTTTTTGGTATAATAAATACCAATTAATTAGTTATCAGTTAATAGGATAAAACAGAAACTCCTCCGATGGCATTGATTGTTCGTAAACGCAATTTGATTCCCCCAAGTTAATTTCAGGCTATAATAATAACACTACTTCTCCATTTCATATCGGTCCCTAAAATACGGCACAACGGCTCCTCCACCAAAGCTTACAATTGCAAATTATGGTGAATTGGTGATTCCTTGTGGTTTTGTACTTATCAAAGTGGCACTAGTGCCTTGACAAAGAATATTTGATTCGATCGTCTATGTGAGATTCCAAATGAGATCGAACGTATGAACCAGTTAGGGCAAGAGTATTACCAACATAGATTTAGTTAAAAAAAACTGCTTTATTGATAAAAATCGTTAATTCATCGTAACTAAATTTGAGATCTACGCATCTAAAATACTAAAACAATCACCAGAAGAACATTATTAAAGGCTCGTTAATTCGTAAACGATCCATCACTAGAAGAGCATTAGTCGTGTGGATGGGGAGGGACCGCCTGCTCAACTGACTTGTCCTTATCTAGTGACTTTTGCCCTTAACTAATTTCATTGCCCTCTCCAAGTGGGAATCCACACCTGTCCCTATCTCGCCGGTCAACCAAAGAGCAAATTCAGGAACAAAGCAAATCCAAAACAAAATCATAATCACAGTTAGTCATAAAAGGAAATTTTGAGGATAACTAAAGAAGAAGATGATGATGATCATGACAGAGCACTAAGTCATTCCCAATTTCCCTAAACTCGGGAGAGAAAGAAAAAAATTGGCCGGAGAGATTTCGATTAAAAGAATGTCCAAATTTCGTCATCAAGAGAGGGAATAATAATGATAATCACCAATCACTACACTACTAATCACTAACCACTAATTAATCAGGCAACCGGGGAAGGCAGCGAGGTCGGATCCGCTGAGGACGGGATCTCCGGCCCAACCCTGCACCCTTCCAGCATAAACACCACGTCAGTCATCGACGGCCGATCCACCGGATCCGGAGCCGTACACAGCAGCCCGACTTTCACCCCCAACAGAACCTCCTCCCATTCCGACGACTCCGGATCCAGCTCCAGCAGCCCCGGTTCCAGCAGCTCCGAAACCCGACCCGTCTGCAGCTGCTTCTTCACCCACTTCACTATATCTTCCTCCTCCTGATTGAACATCACCGGCTTCTTCCCGGTCAGAATCTCCAGCAGGACGATCCCGAAGCTGTACACGTCCGACTCCCTCGTGGCCTCCGCCGTCAGGACGGCCTCCGGCGCCACGTATCCCACCGTCCCCACTGCGGTCGCCGACGATGAAGCCTCCGGCCGGAACGAAACTGTCAGCTTGTCGAGCCCGAATTCCGACAAATGCGCCTCGAAATCCGCGTCGAATAGGACGTTCAGCGGCTTTAAATCGCCGTGGACCATCGTCACGGAGTGTAGAAATGCTAGCCCTCTGGCAATCCCCAATGCAATTAAGTGCCGCATTGGCCAGTTCAGGACATGGCCGTCTTGATGAGAAGCTTCTTGCAGCAGAGTGGCCAGGTTTCCGTTCGGCATGTAGTCGTAGACCAGGAGTTTGACCTCCGGCGGTGGGCCGGCGTAGTATCCACGAAGTACGGTTAAGTTGCGGTGTTTGACTCTGCCTAGAGACTCTGATTCCTTCCTGAAAGTGTTCTCCTCGACGGCGATTCCGTCGGGGAGGCGGCGGATGGAGAGCACCATCCCGTCTTGATACGAGGCTTTGA